ACACGTAACACAGGACACGTAACAAAAAAAGACACTAAAACATGACACAAACATCGCAACATTAAACGTGACACGTAACACCGTAACGGCAAGACGTGACACGAAACAGACGTAACGGTAAAACTAGACGTAACACGTAACAAAAACGTAACAGTAAAACTAGACGTAACACGTCACAAACAACGGAATACTGAAACGTGCCAGAGCACAAACGGATCACTAAAACACATAACACGTAACACAAACGCATAACGAAACGTAACAAACACTAAAAACGCGTAGTACGTCTAAACACTAAAAACATGACGCGGAACACGTACTGTCACACACACACGACACGGGACGTGCAACATTAACTATAGTACAGCGAGAACACTTGGTGTGACGGAGTACCGGAATTCGGAGGTCGGGTTGCGAGCACATACGGGTCAGCGGTACATAACCTGCAGATACAGCAGCCGGCGGGTAAGGAAGCCAAGGTGCTGTCGTCCGCCTCCTCCAGGAGCCTACGTCCCTCTGTCCTTCTCAGAGTACCGCCGAGGTGAGGCAAGTTAACCCGAACGTCTTCAAGGCTGGCTAATACGGTCGTCCGCTAGTTCGCTCGTTTACTGGCCCACTCGTTAGCGTGGAAGCACAGGGGGCCGAAAACATGGCATGGCACAGTGGTGGGGCGTCGTGCCACTACACACCCACCAACCGTTCCTTTTCGCATCCCCTCCCCCTGTTAGAACGCTTTACACCTCCACCACGGAAAATCATAAACACTCACACAATTTTTCCTTCATGTGCCCACCACTCCAGGTGCCTATAGTCCTACTAACGGTCGTTGTCAAGAACATCACAGAACGACCGATCGCCCAGCAAACAAACAAACAAACGAGCAAGACGAGGAAGGTTTCGCCAACGTCACCTCCAGAAAAAGGAAAAGAAAAACGAGAGGAGCGCCGTACATCCAAACCATTACAAGGTGTAGAACTTCCCTCTGTGTCACTCTGATACATATGAAAAAAATATAGAAGACCTTCTTGCTCAAATATGTCATATGCAAAAACATATAAGACGAACATGACGCACCAGTATTATTCTAGTTTCAAAGCAACAGTTAGAGGCAAATATATAAACCCAGAACTTTTCATAAATTCGGATGTTTTTTCCATGTAATGTAAAAATATTTCTGAATAAAAACAAGTACAAATACGACATGTTTGTTTGACGCGGCCATACAGTCCGCAAGACCAACAGTCAAATCATGCTATATCAGAATAGAACATCAAAGCGAAATCCCTCCTTGGTCACTTTGAAGATGAGAAATGTCAATACCTTTTGCATTGTTAAAACATGGCTTGATCAAGAAATGTCAAATAATTTAATATTCAATTTTTAGTGTTTACAGATGTGATATTGAGCGAGGTGGAGGGGTATGCATATATGTAAGAGAGACCCTTAAATTAAATAAAACTTCTATTGTAGCTGTAGAGGACAACTGTGCGCCCTTACGTCAGTATTGGTACAAGCTATATACACTATCATGCTACAGCTGATTTATTTTACTACCTCGAAGATAATTTTAGAGAAATGTCAATTGCATGGGAACCTTTTATCATCCTAGGTGACTTAAATGCCATAATAAATTAATAAAAGTTAGCTGGGATCATTAAGAAAAAACAAATTAAACAGTATATACATAAACCTAAAAGACTACAGAAAACACCTCATCCATACTAGACACTGTATCAAACAGATCCGATCTCATTACAGATACTGATGTTACCCTTTACCAAATCGCATACCACGAACTCTTAAATATAACAGCGACAACCTGTAATAAATACTTCTAGTGAATTGACAAATTATAATCCCCAGTTACTTTGTCAAAATATTAGTGCCAGCCAGTCAACCCTGGCTGGCACTAAAAAAGATTTTAGCAACAGATGGCATTCACAGACAAGTAGACATTCTCACGAACGTACTAAAAATGTATAGATGCCGCTGCTTCCTATAAGACCAAATTGTTAGACGTCTCCCCGCTCCATGGATAGATGAGGACAGCAAAAAAGCTATAGATGACCAAAATAATACAGATCTCTCAAAAGATCTCTCTAAATACAGACAAGAAAGAGAATTGTCAAAACATTATTTCAATCTGAAAAACAACTCGTTTTCAAAATAAGTTCAATTAATGTAAATACGACGCCAAAGAAGCACGGAAAAAAAACACTGACAGTGTCAGCCATTAAGTCTTGCTCGACAACATGAAAAATCATTGAATTGATAACTATTGGTTCAGAAGTTATCTAACCTCAAGAAGGCAGTCAGACAAAATTCGTAATAATATATCTAAGAAACCAGTCTTTTTCGGTGTCCCACAAGGCTCCATATTAGACCCGATCTTATTCACTAACGATTTATCAACCATTCAACCATTGTTCAATATGCCGGCGACTCAGTTCCTCCCTCTATAAGCAATTCAAATGAATTGATAAAAAATACTCAGCAGACTTTAACAGAAACAAAGTTGTATTTTGATTACAACGGCCTCAAACTAAATCCTGATAAAACTCAATGCATCTTTATAGGCAAAATCCCCCCAAACACAATCATAGATTTTAAACCATTATAATTAAAAATCTAGGAGTACACATCGACTGATACATGACTTTGAGACACATTTACAAAAAAAAGTAATGGGCACACTAATATACTTAAATCACATTAAAAAGAATTCCTGTTGTATAAATCCTTGCACTCAGCATAATAAACTATTGTTCCAACATGTGGGGGTCAAAACTCAAATACAAAAAGCACTTTACCGCAAGTGGCAATAGGTAATATAAATAAACATGACCACATAACCCCCCACATAAAGAAGTTCACCAAAAATGTCAATATGACACACGTACACTGATTCATAAATTCATAAAGAGTAACTATTCTCGTTGCTTAATGCCTCTACAAACAATAGGTAAAACACAGGCCCGAGGACCCGAAATCTGGAACAACTTAAAACAAAATATTAGAAACGTCTCCAACCTAATTACTTTCAAAATCTAACTAAAGGGAAATCTTGTCAATTGTCAATGACATTGGGCCTTTAAATGCAAAGCGAAACCATGCACTATAATGCAACCATCTTATTTTGTTTTAATATATATAACTCTGCTACTAAATTACGTCACCACCATCACGTCACACACTCCTCTTACCTTAATGGCCTTTAAGAATATCGTGAATAAAGTCGAAATCCGTGAATTTTAACAGCTGCAGACACAGCTTCCTGATACTTTTATTGCTCACCGGCGATACATTATGCCGGTAAGCACTGAAATGTCACTGCCAGTAAAATGTGACAAGGTATCATTACAGTGTAACGGTTCTGTTGTTTACACTGCGGCAGTAAGGAAAGGAGGCGGAAGCAGAAAGAAATTTAATGTAATTAAGAAAAAGGGTGAAATGGCATCCTTCAAGGTCAAGGCTGCTTCTCTCTCTTTCTCTCTCTCTCTCTCTCTCTCTCTCTCTCTCTCTCTCTCTCTCTCTCTCTCTCTCTCTCTCTCTCTCTCTCTCTCTCTCTCTCTCTCCACATCGTATCTCTCACTACCTGCTTTTCCTCTCTTTCGATCAACTCGTCTCTCCCTATTTCCTTATTATTTGTGTTTTGCTCCTTTGTCTTTCTATCTGTCTATCTATATATCTAATACCCTCACTTTCCCACTTCCCGCTCCTTCTCCATCTCCCTCTCTTCTTCCTTCGCTTCTCCCTCTCCTTCCTTCCCACCTATCTTCTACACTCTTTTTATTTCCCTCTATCTTTCTCATTTTTATTCCATCACTTCCTTTCTCTCTCTCTCTCTCTCTCTCACACACACACACACACACACACACACACACACACACACACACACACACACACACACACACACACACACACACACATTCTAATATGGCGAGGAGGACGTATCCCCACTTGGATGGCACTGGTTTGGCTCTTGAGTTAAAGTTGTCGCAGAATCTATGCTTTGCAGCGGGAGTGTGGTAGCAGGAGTACAGGTGTGGCAGAGGCGGCCAGATAACGGTTACTATGCCCGCGATGACGAGCTGTCCGTGTCGACTGCTCAGAAACAGCTATGATCAAACTTCGTTTTGAAACATTTCATAATGTGAAACATGAAATAATGTGAATGAACAAAAGTTGAGATGCATATGGCCACATTATGGTTTCGTGGTGAAGTAAGGGAAGCCTTATACACTATGATACCAGAGTTATGATGTTTACGAGACTAAAAAGCTTAATTATAAGAATTGCTGAATATTCATTGAAATGCAGAGGCATTAGAATAATAATAATAACAACTGTATAACCATACATAAAATCATCAGAATAACACTATACACACACACCCACACACGTATGTTTCTCCTTCCCAGTCCTCTCACCGTGTTTCGTTTCTGTTTGGTTCGGTTCCTAGACGAGGCTTCGAAAAAAAGCCCCGAAACTGCTTGAAAATGCTCGTCATCGCCACGGAACAAGAGGAGCGAGGCGAGAGTCACTCACTGGACGTGCTTCACCAGTGACTCCTGCACCTTCACTGAGCCTCATGGTCGTTGGAGGCGATTTCAACGCGCGAGTTGGTTTGTCCCTCGGTCTTCCTCCAGTGTTGCCAGTTGGGCGGTTTTCCCGCCCAATTGGGCTGGTTTTTCCTCCAGTGTGCGGGATTTTTTCCTTTTGGGCGGGGGTGCGGTTTTTGGGCTGGTTTTAGAATATTTGTTTTTTGTTGCAGGCATTATATATTATGTTCGGAAAATGGGGTTATTTTTCATATGACAATACCAGCGTGGTGTGTATTATGATCACTGTGGGATTGGTTGTGTCATGTATTCTGTGCACTGTTGTCACGATCTTACTTTTAGGGTACCTGCTAAGTACGCTGCCAGTGTATTAATTAAAAGTTATTTCAATTGTTATATTCGATGTAGCGCCTCACTGGATTAGCAAGCGTATTCGCAGGTCATTGGCTTGTTAAACAATAGCTTAATTAGACAACAATTAAAGCCATTGCGTGATCTAACATTAATCGCCATTGGAATTGTTGCAATGCCATTGTCCCGTCGTTAGTGTATAATTCCCAGGAAATTTGATACCCACAGTATGAGTACCTGCTATTTTGAACAAATTCGTACTCATTAAAGTCATTCGATTGATCTTTCTCTGCAAAATGGGCAAATGGGCAAAATACCAGAAGAACTACTGCAGTAGTTGGGAAAAGGACGTCAAATTAAAGTCATGGATACATCGAGTACCTGGAGATGGTACGAAGGCAGCATGTAGATTTTGCAAGTCTACAGTTCGTTGCCATTATAGTGATTTGTGTGCTCATGCTGACACAGAAAAGCATAAGAAAAATGCGGCGCCAGGTTCTGGTGGAAGAACTCTTTTTGATGTTGGATGTGCGCGAAAAACAGAGGATCAGAGCATAAAAGTTGCTGAACTCAAGCTGGCCGTTCATGTTGCTTGCCACTCAAGCATTTTGACAATCGATCATCTTGGCGAGATTGTCAAAGATGTATCTGGAAGAGACATATCTATCCACAGAACAAAATGTTCTGCACTTATCAAGAATGTTTTGTGCCCCGTGATACGACATGATTTATTTATGGATATTCAAGGCATGCCGTACTCTCTGATTATTGATGAAAGGACCGACATAAGAGCAGAGAAACAGCTTTGTGTTATGGTGCGGTATTTCAGTAAGACACACAAGACAATCCTGGCAGGGTTTCTTGGCATGATATCACTTGATTCTGGCACTGCAGAAGGAATTTTTAACAATATGGCTACCTTTCTTCGTGCTTGCAATCTTGATCTTGCCAATTGCATTGGGCTAGCTACAGATGGATGTAGTGTCATGTGTGGGCAAAATAACTCCGTAATTACCAGGTTTTGTGAAGTGAATAGCAACATAGTTCACATAAAATGAATTTGCCACTCAATCCAGCTTTGCTCATCATATGCTTCGAAAGCTTTGCCACGAAAAATAGAGTTTATGGTTTCTGAAACTTATCTTTGTATTTCACTATCAATGTTGGTGATGAACCCCTGAAAATCTTGAAGCTCTCTAATACACGATGGCTTTCAATAGCGCCATGTGTGCAGCGACTGCTGCAGCAGTATGAAGAGCTCAAATTGCACTTTCAAGTGGCAAGAGATGAAGAGAGAAACTACACTGCAGATCTGATGTATCAGATGTATTCTGATGCAGAAAATAAATTATATTTGATTTTTCTAGAGCCAATCCTCATAGAATTGAACAGAGTTAACCGGCTGTTCCAGCTTGACAAGTGATCTCCCATAAAACTCACCGATGAAATTGTTACACTGTATCGCTCATCCTTTTGCGTGTGGTTCTCCCTAATACTTTTACAACCTGGTTATCCTTCTCCTTTTATCTTCTTCTTTTCTATTTTTCCTATTTCTTTTTCTTCTTCTTTTTCTATTTCTACGTATTTTTTTCCATCTTTTCTTCTCCCTTTTATTTATTAATTCTTCTCCATCCTCTTCACCCCCCCCCCCACCTCCACCACTAGAACAGCCACCCCTCCGTCTTCTTCTCCTCCTCCTCCTCCTCCTCCTCCTCCTCCTCCTGCTCCTCCTCCTCCTCTTCCTCCTCCTCCTCCTCCTCCTCCTCCTCTTCCTCCTCCTCTTCCTCCTCCTCCTCCTCTCTCTCTCTCTCTCTCTCTCTCTCTCTCTCTCTCTCTCTCTCTCTCTCTCTCTCTCTCTCCTTTCATACCTTTCCCTTTCAGCATTGTTTAAATCAAATAAAAACAAATTTGAACTTTAAATATTTTATTATTAATGATCTGCGGCATATTTACGCTTTAATAAAATATATTTTCCATTTTCTTAACATTTATCTGTCTACCTGTCTATCTATTCGTCTATCAATCTGTCTGTCTGTGTCTATCTATCTATCTATCTATCTTTCCACAAACAATTGCTTTACATATTTCTATTCAAATTTCGTGTACGCATGCATGTGTGTGTGTGTGTGTGTGTGTGTGTGTGTGTGTGTGTGTGTGTGTGTGTGTGTGTGCTGATTTGCTTCTTACTTTTATTTTCACTCTTCACACTTCACAGGAAAATATTGTGGCACAATAATTCAACACAAAAAAGATAAGATATGGTGATATTCGTGTTTCTTTATGGAGGGGTATGTATGTACATTTTTGTTGTCATTTCCCCCCTGTTCTTTCGTCTCCTCCTTTTCCACTTCTTTTTCTTCTTTCTGCCCTTCCTCTTCTTCTTTCTTATCTTTACTTTCTTTCTCTTTCTACTCTTCCTCCTTTTTTATCTTCCTCTTTCTCCTCTTTCTACTCTTCCTCCTTTTTTTATCTTCCTCTTTCTCCTCTTTCTCCTCCTCTTTATCTTCTTCCTCCTTCTCCTCTTTCCTCCTCCTTCTCTTTATCTTCTTCCTCCTCTTCCTTCTCTTTACCTTCTTCCTCCTTCTCCTATTCTTCCTCTTTCACTTCAAGAAGCGCAAGGCGATACTCTTTTGTTTTCTTCAGAAATGAGATTCACTTTCTATAGATGGGTCTAAGGCTTTTAGCTGAAAAAAGAATAAGTGATATTAACATTATGATATTGTTACCAATGTTGAAGATACTGATGAAATAATTATAATCATAATAAAAACGATGATAATGACAATGATAATATTCACTACAATTATCATAGGGATAGCTTATAGTAAAAATTGCAATAGCAGTGAATGCTAGATCGGAATGCTCTTTATCCCTGAGATGAAATAGATAATGACTCTGCATTCTATTTAAACCTAACAAAAAATCGACAGAATAGATATCCGATCAACAAAAAACACAACAATAAAACCGGTACACAAATAAATGCAAATGAAAAAACTAATACAAACAAACAGACCAAAACAAAAGGCGACACCGAGACCCATACCACTTTCCAAAAGACGTAGACGGGACGAGACGCCAGACAGATCCACGTCACGTTGGCAAAGAACCCGATTACGACTGGCGTGCTGAGGAAGGCGGAGCTGTGGACGAGCACGGCGAAGGCGCAGATGTCGATGATGATTACCACCAAGTTCCACAGGAGCCACACGGCCAAGTAGTGACGTTTTTCCTGCAGAAGGAGGGGGGATTGAAGCCGCGGTTTATCTGTCTGTCAGTCTATCTGTCTATCCACCATCTATCTATCTGTCTATCCACCATCTATCTATCTCTCTTGCTTCATACTTACGAAGTGTATCCCCCAGAAAAGTATAGGTGTAATGACGACCAAGGTAAGGCCGCTAAGCACAACCTCAGCCCATGCACTGTGTTCCCCTGGAGGTGGAAGAAAAATGATGAGTCACTGTGATGAAGGGGAAGGGGGAATGACCGCAGAGGGATACATTGAATGGCTACATAAGAGTGAATACATAGATCGGATACATAAAATGAATACATAGCTTGAATACATGAAACGGATGCATAGTTTGGACACCCAGATTAGATACATTGAGTGGATATATTGAATGGATACATAAACTGCATACATAACTTGAATACATAGATCGTGTGCATATATATGATACACAGATCGGATTCATAGATTGAAAGCATATATTAGATGCATAGATTGAATAAATAGATTGGATGCATACACGGACAAGGATTCAGGGAAGTGAACATCGATGGGGAATTGAACCGTGATAATGATAAAGAAAGACAGAGTGATAATTAGAGATATATAGGGATAATGAATAATTGGAGAATTAGATCATTAAAGTGGATGATAGTGAGATAATGACAATAATAAAGATACCAATGATACAAATGATAATGATGACAATAATGACAATAATAGTAAAAAGGATAATAATAATCCTTATAATAATGATGATAATAATAAGGATAATAATAAGGATGATGATGTTAACAGTAATGATAGTAATAATGATTATGATAATAGCAGTGATATATACTGATAAATCTATTCTTGATAAAAAAAAAAAAAAAAAATAATAAAAATATCTACAGATGATATCGGTAATGGTAAATGATAAACTTTATAATCATGACCACATACACCCCCTCACACACACACGCATAGATAGATTTATATATAAACAAACAGATAAACAGCTCGGCATAATAGTCAGAGATCTATATTTCAAAATATCTATACACCTTCAGCTTCCCGCTCATCAGGTGATCTTAAGAATGGCAGGGGGAGGAGGGGTGGAGGGAAGGGGAATGGGGAAGGAGAGGAGGGAATGGGGGGGGGGGGGTGGAGGTTGAAGATAATGCCAAGGACAGAGTCAGACCCAGCGAGGGTGGACGTGGGGGGGGGGGGGCTCCTCTCACTTCCTTGTGTGGTGGACCACCTTAAGCAAGCCCTCGTTCCCGCTAATAGTTTCGTATATCAGAGATTTTTATTTACTTCGTTTGTCTTTGTATTCATTTTTGGTAAGAGGTGATAATGATAATAATGATGGTCATCGTCATTATCATTATTACTGCTGTCATTATTTATTATTATCATTATTATTATGTTTACTATAATCATTATTATCACCATTATAATGATATGATAATGATAATGATATTAATAACAATATTAATAGCAGTGATTTTAATTACAATAATAATAATATTAGTAATGCTAATAATAATAATAATAATATCGATAACGATAATGATGATAATAGTAAAATGATAATAATAATAATAATAATAGTAACAATAATAATAATAATAATAATAATGAAAATAATAATAATAATAATAATGATAATAACAATATCAATAAATATAATAATGAGAATGATATTAACAATGATAATGATAGTAATCATAAAGATACTAACAATAGCAATAATAATGATAATAATAGGGATAATAATAATAATGATAATAATAATGGTAATAATAATAATAATGGTAATAAGAAGAACTAGGAGAATGACAATGATAATGATAAAGATAATGATAAT